TCATCATGTCTGCTTTTCCATTTGTCATGTCAATGACTTCTCCTGGAACTAGTAGAGACTCTCCATCTTGATCATCCTTGCTGATTTTCTCACAGGAGGGATAGGACTTGTCAAAGATTACGTGAACACTTTCCTCGACACACTGAGTCCGCTTGTTGTATATCTTGTAAGCTTTGCTTTGAGAAGTGTACCCCAAGAAGATTCCTTCATCACTTTTGGCATCAAATTTTCCAAGCTGATCCTTTCCATTGTTGAGAACATAACACTTGCACCCAAATGTTCCTAGGTGAGTCAGCTTGGGTTTTCTTCCATTCAGCAACTCATAGGGGGTTTTGTCCAGGAGTGATCTGATCATGCACCTGTTCACCAAGTAGCAGGCATTGTTTACAGCTTCAGCCCAGAAGTTCTTTGCAATCCCACTATCGATTAGCATTGTTCTTGCCATTTCCTCAAGATTTCTATTCTTCCTTTCCACAACTCCATTTTGCTGGGGAGTTCTTGGGGCTGAGAAGTTGTGGGTAATGCCATTTTCGTTACAGAACTCATCAAATTTGGCATTGTCAAATTCTGTTCCATGATCTGATCTAATACATGCTACTCTAGACTCCATCTTCACTTGGATTTTCTTCACAAAGGCCACAAATACCTCAAAGGTTTTGTGTTTTGTTCTCAGAAATAGAGTAGTGAACCTGGAGTAGTCATCCACTATCATAAAGATGTACCTTTTTCCTCCCCTGCTTTGCACTCTCATAGGGCCACACAGATCCATATGATGAAGATCAAGTGGCTTTGAGGTGCTGACATCTTTCTTAGACTTGACTGAGGACTTCACATGCTTCCCTCTAGCACAGGCATCACATACTTTCTGTTCTTTGAACTTTGACATGGGCAGACCACGGATCAGGTCCTTCTGAATCAGTTTATTCAAAAGAGAGAAGCTTGCGTGCCCCAGTCTTCTGTGCCACAGTTCATCATCATTATCAATAGCTTTCAAGCAACTCAGATCACCACTTTGCAGAGACTCAAAATCAGCAACATAGATGTTCTTGTATCTTTTGGCCAGAAGTACCACTTCACCAGTTACCAGATTTGTAACTGTGCATATCTTGGACAAGAACTCCACCTTGTTTCCTTTATCACAAATCTGAGAAACACTCAGGATACTGTACATGAGACCATTGACATAGTACACATTCTCAATTGAGTGAGTGAGTGACTTCCCGACTTTTCCAACTCCAAGAATGTACCCCTTTTTCCCATCGCCAAAGGATACACTCCCTCCTTGCAGGGCTTTTAGTGAAAGAAAGTCCATGGTGTTCCCAGTCATGTGCTTTGAACATCCACTATCCATGAACCATTGTTGACTGCTTCCTTTCACTATTCCCTACACAAGGAAATCAAGAGTTAGTTTTAGGAACCCAAACAAGTTTGGGTCCCTTGTAGTAAGCAAGCGGATGAATAAGAACTCTCTTGGTCCATGCAGGTAACATGCGTCCATTTATGGGTAGTACCTGGTCCCTTTTTAGTAGTTATCTTTTCAGCAAACACTTTGTTTTTCTGAATAGACTGAACCCTGGCGTGGCAATTTTCCTTGAAATGCCCATTGTTCCTACAGTGGGTACACAGCCAGTTATCTGGTACAGCAACATACTTGCTATGGGGGTTGTCAGGAGTTCTCTCCCTTTGAAACCCTATTCCCTACCTGTTTCCACCATTATTGACATACATGGCAGTAATAGCTTCAGAGGACCAGGTCCACTTAAGGGACTTTTCAAGATCATTTTGTACTCTTTCCAGTTCAGTTTGGAGATGCTTATTTTTCTCAAGTTCAACATACAGGCTAGTTTTCACAGCTTTCAACTCGTTTTCAAGCTTAATGTGTGCCTCACTAGCTACCTCTTTTCCCTTCTCAGAATTTCCAGGCCTAGACTCAGTTCCTAGTCCCTCTATAGTTTCCCTTAGGTTTGCAATATTAAGAGGTCATCTCTTTCCTCCTCTATTTCAGTCACTCTTTTCACTAGCACATTCTTATCTTTACTTAAATTCTCAATGGTTTCCTTTAAATCGATAGCTACAACCACCAATCATCTCTTTCGTGTTCTACACTAGCAATTTTTTCAGTTAAAACCATTTTTTCATCTTCCAAATTGCTTATAGTTTCCTTCACATCAACTACACACACTACCAAATCATCTCTTGTTTGTTCAGATTCTCCTAGTTCTAAGATCAATGCATCTTTATCCTCCACAAGAATATGATAAGCATCAATTAATACATAGCTAATGACATGAGTTTCTTAGGGGAGTAGGATTTCAGATTTCTCTGAACATCCCTGAAGTTTACCTCACCGTTGCCATCATCTTCATCATCATCTGATTGAGCCATCAAAGCAAATATTGAATCATATTCATTTTCTTCACTTTCAACTGCCATCATGGAACTGTCACCTGCATCACTTTCTTCTTCAGACTCACTAGAGGAGTCTCCCCATGCTGCAAGATCCTATTTTACCACATTGTCAGCAGATCTCTTCCTTTTGAAGTGCTTGTCAGGAACCGGGTTCCTCTTTGTTGCTTTATCAGGGTTGTATTTGGAGTGTTCTTGCTTCATGAGAGGACAATCTTTGATGAAGTGCCCTGGCATTCCAAATTTGTGGCAGAGGTCATAATTCTTTCGTCTACTGGAGTTGCCTCTTTTTAGTATTCTCCCATTTCTTCTAACCATCTTTTGAAACCTTTTGGTCAAGTAAGCCATGTCACTGTCCTCCTCACTTCAGTCATTGCTTTCAGCTTTGAGTACCAGGTTCTTTTCCTTCTTTGGTTCTCTTCTTTCACTGTCTATCTTCTTCTTCATCTCGTAGCTTTTCAGATTTCCAACCAGCTCGTCTATGGTCAGCTCCTGCAGGTCCTTTGCTTCAGTAATGGCATTCACCTTACTCTCCCATGAACTAGGCAGAATACTAAGGATCTTCCTCACGAGCTTGTTCCTGGGAATGATTTCACCAAGTGAGTGTAGCTCATTTATGATGGAAGTGAATCTTGTGTGCGTATCTCGAATAGATTCATCGTCTTTCATCCTAAAGAGTTCATACTCGATGGTGAGCATATCAATCTTAGATTGCTTTACTTGAGTGGTTCCCTCATGTGATGTTTGCAAAGATTCCCGTATCTCCTTGGCAGTTTCACAAGCAGAGATCCTATTGTATTCATCAGGTCCTATTCCACACACCAAAATTTTTTGGCAAGAAAATTTTTCTCCACAGCTTTCCTGTCAGCGTCAGTGTATTCTTTTCTGGCTTTGGCATTGACAATGGAAGGTCTCCGACATTCTTTGTTGGGATGTAAGGACCATCACATATGACGTCCCACAACTCAGAGTCTTCGGCCATGATAAAATCATGCATTCTTGTCTTCCACCATCCATAATATTGCCCATTGAACCTGGGTGGTCTATGCCTCCTCATCCCTGGCACATCCCATCAACTCCAAGAAAACACACACATCTAGAGGCAGTCAACACAAGAACTTGCAACTAGTTGGCCCATACTCTTTTCCAGAACCCACAAGAACCTGGAAACACAACCCCATTTCACTAACATCTTTGCTAAGTTTTGCAGGTTTCTGGAATAGGTTTGGTCAATTGGGGCACTTTTAGTTAGTGGTATTAGCATCCCAGATGCTCATTCTACTGAAAGTGCACCAATTTACCCAACCCTCTCAAATCATCTCCACGCACAATACAGTAAACAGCATCTCCACCAGTAATGCTCTGTGGTGAAGTCCTGCAGCAGTTCCAACAGAAAACTGTCATCACCCAGGCAGTCTACCAGCAGCAGGCACATTTGCAACAGCAAGTCATCTATACAAGCTACTCTGTCCCAGCTATCCAGTCCTGCGCACACTCTGCAGACCTCAAGTCAAAGGGGATATTTGATGCAGGAAGTTGCTTACTTTTTTCTGTCAGAATTAGCAGACAGTCACAGCTCAGTAACCCCTCTTTTGGAGCCTTTTTGACAGCTATCTTCCATTTGGCTTTCTTTCGTAATGTCAAAGCAAAATGGAAGATAGCTTCCATCTATAGTTTATGTTGTTTACCATTACTACTAGAACACTTCTACTTTTTCAATAGAGGTAGAATTTGTTGTATATGGAATATAATCTTCCAACTCTTTTGCTTAGTAGATTTAGGATCAGTTGTGCATTTTTGTATAGTTGACCTAGGCTTACTACACTTGTATTTTGCAGTTCCAATTGTCTATCACTGTTGGATAGACAATTGGTTCATCATCATAGGTCTAACTCACCATAGGTTTCAAAGTTCTTTTGGTTGCCATACTTGGCTGACCAAATGCACTTTCGTCTTATAACTGGACGTAACGTTTATGTCCCCCTCCTTTTTGTTGTACTATATTTTATATCTATGAGAATGAACCCTAGGCAAAATGCCTAGTGGACTTTGATAAAAAAAAAAGGAACTAAGTGTTCCGATTTCACCTTGAACCCTTCCAAATCCCGAACTAACCATCCCCGTTTATCATAAAATAGTTAAAGCACATACGGGGAGTCTTATTTAGGGAAATGGGGATCTAAAAAGCAAAACGACCGGGTCGGATCGTTACACTAAAAATCTTAACTTCAGGACAATTCAAAATATTTTTATCCTGAAAATTTAAACTGAAAAAACTAAAATTCAGGACGCACTGACTAATTTTTAAATACAGCCATGAGTGCAAGAAAATTGCCGGCATATCCTTTACCCAACAAAGCCCAAGACAAAATAAAAATTATTGTGACCACACTTTCTAAACTAGTATTACAAAGTTATCATTATACATTATTTTTCTTTGCAGAGCAGAGTCATTATCACAAATAAAAATCACAACTTTTCTCTTCTACCACAAGATGGGAGAATCCTTGTCCACTCTCGCTTATTATTTATTCAGAAATTCAAACTAGCACTCATAAATGACGAATACAATAAGAAAAAGCAAGAACAAGAGGTATCTTCTCCCGCCCGAATATGGTGGTATTGAGTTTATATATAACAAGGATCAGAAAGACCGAAGTTGAGTCCCCAGAGCTCAAATCTTCCTTTCATGAAATCATAGTAACCTCCCTTCAACGCCGAAGTCTTATTCACCAAAGCATCGCTCACAAATGGGTACGTAAGCAAATTGGCTAGTGATACATTCACAGCTTCCTGCATTTTATCCATTCCCATTGTTAGTTATAAATATTAGTTGACATTTATAAGAAAAAGTAAAAAAAAAAAGCAATTAGTGTGAGAACACTATTTTACCTTCTCACAGTATTTGACTTGCTCTTCAAAAGTTTTATCCCCATGTTCAGCTAGCACCTTTGCTTTGGCAGGTAATCCAATTTTCACCCAATCCTCTATAAAGTCACTGCATTATCACATATAAACATTTCTTCAAATTAGTAATATAACATAATTAATTGTTAAGTTAAACATTATTTTTTTATTCGTTATACTATTAATATGTATAACTTAAATGGTTTACTTAACGATACATACGTCGATTCAGAACAATCTTCTAGGAGTTCCATGAGAGCATTAATACCTCCACATGCACTATGGCCAATGATTAAAATGTTTTCTACCTTAAGATGGACAATGTATTCGATTACAGCTCCTACTCCAGAGTATTTAGTCTGTTGCAATCCAATTCCAACCCAAAAGTAAAGTAAATTAACAATATTAATACAAAATAGAACGAAGGAGTTAATTCATAGAAATTAAACTGATAAATGACCTTGTCATAAGGAGGGACCATATTGGCGATGTTTCGAAGCATAAAAGCTTCACCGAGCTGAAAATTCAGCACATGAGATGGGCTCACTCGTGAATCGGAGCAGGCAAACACCAGAAACTGTTACATGGTTGGATACATGATTTTTCAGCTATGGAAAATTAATTTACAATGTAAAAAAGTCTTCCTACTTATCGAGCTAATTCAGTGCCTGAGAAGTCACAACTCCTACATTGTGTGAGCAGCTAGTTATTCACTGATCAATAGAATTTTTTGTTGTGCTAACTAATGCAGAGATACTAAAAGGCAGCCCGGTGCACAAGGCATCCCGTATTTACGCATGTTCTGCAGAAAACCCGCACCCAAAGGGTGTGATGTAGATAGTCTACCTTAATGCAAACATTAGTGACTGCTTCCATGGCTTGAACCCCTTGGTGGGTATGTGTGAACAAAGTCTCACACTGTTAAGAGTATCTTTGGGCCATTTTATTCCAATAACCCTAACCTATAGGTCACACAGAGATAACTTTAACCTTACTCTAATGCATAAATAGCAACAAAAGTGATAAGATCTTGTACCTTGGGATCCTGTCCTTTCTTGAGTTTCTCAAACAATTCTGGGTTTTTGCTGGTACATGTAAGAAATAGTTTATTAGGCGCTGTCATTTCAAGGTTGTTTTGTTTAATTATCATTGTATGAAAATTAATATCACACTTTTAACATGTTAGGGAAAAGTAAAAGAAGGGAACGTATGGGCTTTACTCATATATCTCTGTTTTGAAATAATAAAAGCCAGTCTTGATCCTTTGAACAGGGTCGAAGGATTTGCAGCTTGTCATTTGTAACTCAGCTGTGATTTCATCAATTCTTTCTGCTACAACCGATTTCAGTTCTTCTTTCTCACTTCAATTGCACAATTTCCAAATCCAACACCCATAATTAATACTATTGGTTTATTAAATTGCTGCTTAAGCAAGAAATGTATGTTCTTAAGCAAGTGTTATTATGTACCACACTGCATCTATTACTCCTTTAGTAATTATTACTCTATAATGAATACAAAATTTATATAAACATATATGTTTTAACATAGTTAAACTACGTAAATATATTTATTATCTTTTCTAAGAATAATCATTCAAATATAAAATAAATTTTCCATAACTTTTATGAAAAACTGTTTAAGCAGCTAGATATTTAAATATATTTTTGTTGAAGAAGTTTTAAAACACAACTTTGAACAAATACTTGGGTTAAAATGAACAACTTTGGTTCTGTTTCTCAATATTTAAAAACAAAAGTATCTTACGATTCCTTTTTAAACCATACAGCAGTTAATGTTATACATGCGATGGTCCAAACCTGAGGAGTTTCTGGAGTGAAACAATGGCCTTCTCGTAACTTCCTTTTGCCATGTCTTCTCTCTCTGCAATTCCCCATTTTTTTGTCAGAATTTAGCAAACATACTTTTTTCTCTCTACTGTGTATGGTGAAATCAAAAGGTAGAGATAGACATTAAAACAATTGGTGAGTGGCCTATCTAAAATATGTCCAAAAACAAAATAATCCATAAGGTTTACATGTTTAGCAAGAATAAAGTTACAAGCCAAGAAAGACGTTATAAATAGAATAGAACAAAGTCTTATATGATACAAATTGTGTGGTAGTCATCACATGTGCAGGATTGGCTAGTGTACGAGGTTGTTTAATTTTATGGATTCATTAATTTTTCATACAATAACTCAAAGAACCTATTCACATAAAATTAAAAGGCTAAACGATGGCCCTATTACTCGTTTGGCAAGAACTTTAATTTACGCCATTGACATGTCCATTTAATTTGGTTGATTTTCAAGTTTATTTAGAGCTACCACATGCACATGACGAAAGAATTGAAGAGTACACTTAAAAAGAAAATCGCTTCCTTTTTTTCTCGTTTTTACTCTCTAGGATCTTCATGTGTATTCGAGACAACAACTATCTTAATTTCGGAAATTAATGATAACAAGGTAAAAGGTGAATTAATGATAAGAGAGACACGTATGTTAGCAACAATATAATTATGTAAGTATTTAAATTTTTGCGCCAACAATATAATTATGTAAGTATTTAAATTTTTATGTAAATAGGTTATATGCACCAACAATATAATTATGTAAGTATTTAAATTTTTGCATAAAACTAATTATACTCGGAAGAAATAGGTTGTAAAGTCTAGTCGCCTAGAATTTCAATGAGACTTTTTATACTATATCATGTCGACTAAAGAATATCTATAGGTAAGCTTAAAATGTGAAATTTGTATTCTTAAAAATAAAATAAGCTAATATGCTACAACATGTAGAAATGACTTGATGATGTAAAAGTTCAACGATATACACAATTTAAACTCTAATATAAGCTATATATACCGATCAAGACAGAAAGAAAGAAGGTGAATTAGGAAAAGGTGAGAAGGTATATATATATACCAAAGTGGGGAGATGATGGGAGGAAGCTGAAGAGTTATTAAGTCTTGCAAAAGCAGAAGGGCGAAGAAATATGGGTGGGAAAGTTTGGTTTCTTTAGCCTGAAATTTATACTACTCGATCAATTAGCTACTAGTAACTGGTAAAACTAGTTGCCGTATCCTCTAAGATTTAAAATAAAATGTAAAGATTTTTTGATATATTAGTGAATTCAAATATGTGTTAGCACGTTTGTTGCCAATTTACCGGATAATCAATGAGTATAATCACTTTATAAGCACTGGCCTCATTATATAAATAATTTTCATATCATTAGTGAATAACCACTTTCACACAAGGTTTTATCCAATATTCTCCATGAGGTACAGAACCTCAAAATATTCATAATTGACGGGTCCTAATTTGTGAACCCTAAACACTTGGCATCTTGTGCCCTCATTATAGCTAATAACTACACAGACGACACACATGCATGTCAATAGAACCCTTCTCACGTAGAGGCAAATAGACGAGGGTGTATAGAAATGATCAATAACATTAGGATCCATTTTCTTGAATCGTTAGGGGTGATTAACTACGCGTAGGCTTGTGCTAGTGTTCTATCACAATTCTAGTCAACAAGTAAGAGTAGCGACAATGAATGACACATAAGAAACGACCACTATGAAATGAACACGGTATAACTCACACAGAGTATGCACACCACTACACAAATAACAACAATAATAATGCCTACAGGCCATCGCAAGTCATTACAATCAATCCCTGACATAGCCCACCTTGTCTCGCCACGTGCGCAATAATAAAGTAAATGCCCACCTTGTCTCGCCACACGTGCATAAAAATGTTTCCACCTTGTCTCGCCACATGCGCAACCCATATATATATCCCGCCTTGTCACGCTGCATGTGCAAATATCAATAGTAACAACAGCACGGCAGAAACCCCGTGCAACACAATATCATTCGCAAGCAGAAACTTCGTGCATCATAATAACAACCGCACGACAGAAACCTCGTGCATCACAATAACAACCACGCGGCAGAAACCTTATACATCACAATAACAACCGCACGACAGAAATCTCGTGAATCACAACAACAAGTTTTTACAGCAACAATGACAATAACACAAGAGTACGACAAATAAATCGACTCAGAAATTCCAGAACTCAAAGAAACGGAAGAAACAAGCTCACATGGAAATACACAACAGAAAATAACTACACCACCTAGTAATAGCTCAAAAAGGAAGAGATAATGTGTAGCAATGACCTCCACATAAGTGCAATTCAACAACAAGGGAGTTTTCACGAGTTGATAATTCGAAATAAGAATAAACAATTACAGAAGAGATAATAATAATATCAAATAAAGATAAGCAGTGAGAAAGGATAGCATGGAAATTGAAGAGACAACAACTTCAGTTAAGGCACGCAAGAGTCAAATAGGCAGTAAGAGTGGAACATGAAGCAATTAATTTCAAATAAAACACGTAGAGGTGAAACTAGTAAATGGAAAAATTTAACATAGTAAATCAACTTCATATCTAATGAACATAAGAACCTACGAGCCTTAAAGGTCAATTTTCCAAAAATAAGCCCGCGCACGTACTGGTCACCACGCGTACACGGACTTTACATGATACAATTAGCATAAAAGACTCAAATCCTAAGAGGTAGTTCCCTCACACAAGGTTAGGCAAGATACTTACCTCAATGAAGCTAGAGCACTACTCTAAAATGAACTTCTCGAGTGAAATTACCTCCGGACGGCTCAAATCTAGCCAAAATAACTTCATAGCATAAATAAAACTCATAAGAAACTATTCTGGATAATAAAGCTTCAATGTTTGTCAAAAACTAAAAATTAACCCAAAAGTCGACCCTCGGGCCCGCACTTCGGAACCCGAAAAATTCATAAAATTCGAACACCCATTCAATTACGAGTCCAACCATACTAATTTCTTCCAATTCCGACTCCGAATCGATGTTCAAAACCCAATTATTCTCTTTAGAAAAGTTTTTGATAAAAACCCCCAATCCTCCAATCAAAATATGAACTAATTTAAAAATGAACTTCTGTAATCATATTAAAATATAAAAATTATAGTTAGATATTGACCCCCATGAAAAGACGAGAAGAACGCCGCGAAAACCACCTCAATCGGAGCTCTAGAACTCAAGATATGCTAAAAATACTAAAATAATGCGGTATGATTTTTTTATACTCGGGGATTTTCGCTTTTGCAAATAAAAATCCGCGCCAGCGCATTTCCAGCTGTAATTTCCGCTTTTGCAGACCAATTTTCGCGCCTCCGGGGTCGCAGATGCGACCCAACTTCGCATCTGTGAAGCACCAACACCATCTATCTTCTCCGACACTAAAATAAGAATAACTTCCTCATACGATGTTCAAATTCGACGATTTTTTTTGCTATGGCTCCGTAATTACGATACGGATCTAATGCTTCAACTAAAACAGAAATTGGAGTTCATTTGCTTAATGTGGTACCATTTATTGTTGAAGAAACAAAGTCGAAACATAAAAAACGAGCGCAACACAACCCAAACCTATTCGAGACTCACCCGAGCCCCTCGGGACCACGTCCGAACATACCAATAAGTCCCAAAACATAATGCGGACCTGCTCGAGGCCTCAAATCACATCAAACAACATCAAATCTACGTATCGCACCATGAATCGAACTCATGAACTTTCAAATCTTCCAACTTCTAAAACTCGCATCGAAACCTATCAAACCAACCCGGAATGACGTCAAATTTTGCAGGCAAGTCCCAAATGACATAACGGAGTTGTTCCAACTCTCGAAATCCCATTCTGACCCCGATATTGCCAAAGTCAACTCTTGGTCAAACCTCTCAACTTTCCAGATTTCAACTTTTCCAACTTTCGCCGAAATGCTTCAAATTACCCTACGGACCTCCAAA